TTTGGTATATTAAAAGAATCTAATGTAAAATAACTGATTGATTTTTTTCACTGAATTTTTTTTTATAAATAAGCGATGAGCTTAGGTCAATTTTAAACTTAAAAGGAAAAAAAATCCCACTGCTACCCAATTGCTTCCAACTCATAACCACCATATACAGGGTTTCTGAAGCTGTAAGACCTTCAGGAGCAGAAAATCTCATCTTTCTCTCATAGGTCTGAACTCTCAACCTTCAGTCCAAACTTTAACCACCTGTTAATGGCTTAGATCTATTTCAGTCCAACAAATATTTATCCAGCTCCTATCTGTGTGGACTCTTATATCCATGACTGTCTTGGGAGATGCAAAAGTCTTTGTCCAAGTGATCATCTACTCCAAACCTAACCAAACTCACTGCCACCGAGCACTTCTAACTCACTGAGTTCCTAGAGAAAGCTAGACCAGCTCCTACGGGTTTCTGAGGCTATAAATCTCCATGGGAGCAGAAATCCTCATCTTTCTCCCAAAGAGTAGCTGGTGGATTCAAACTGTTGGCCTTGTGAGTCACAGCCCAATATGTAACCCACTATACCGCCATCCATGCAGGAAAGAAACATATACAAATAAAATGTACACTGCATGTAACATAGAATTGTTTCTGATATATTTCTTTTTAATTTGTTGATTGCTGACATCAGAACAATTAAAGGAATAAAGTGTGAAAAGTTTTAAAGACTGAATTGAACTTGTTGTATGAATAAGGTAGGAGGTTCTTGCCTTCAATGCAGGCATGTACAAAATCATGACAGCTAAAGCAAGGTTTCATGTGACAAAAAAATGCAATGAGAGAAGTTCTAGGAGACACATATGGCCAAACAGGTAGTAGTCAGCTCCTATTTGGGCCAAAGATTTTATCTGTTTAGTGGGCCATTAAATATGTTCATTAAGAAATGCTATACTATATGTTCTGTAGCTGAGCCCTGATGAAAAAGTAACCCACCTCTCAGAACCAGGTCACATGAAAACATATTTAAACACCATTCAGCAATCAGATGGCCCTCAGAAATGTTACTCACTCACACTATGGAACAAGGTACAGGTCTGGCTCTCCCCATCCTCCTCCTTTGGGACATATGCCTTCTGAGAGCAATGGCAAAGGAGGTAACCCACACTAATTGAATATTTCCTTTTCTCATTGTGTTAGTCTGGGTAGACTAGAGAAACAAATCCAAGGA